ATTTGTTTTCACTATAAGTTTGCAATTTTTGGTTGATTAAATAATTGATTAATTGGTTAGTGATTAGTTGATCAATTTGTTATTTAGTTGATTTATTGATTGGTTGGATGGTTAATTGGTTAATTGATTGGATAATTGGTTGACTGGTTAATTATTTATATAGTTGGTTGGTTGATTGGTTAGTTAGTTGGTTGGTTGGTTAATTGGTTAGTTGGGTGGTTAATTGATTGATTGGTTAATTGATTAGTTTGATTAATTGATTAATTAATTAATTTATTTCATTATTTATTTACTCTGTATTTCTATGTTTAGTTCTATGTATTATTTATTTACTGTTATAACTAGTCTTTGTAACATTTTTTGTAATAATCAATTGTGTTAGGTGAATACTACGCCCTTGTATTTTTTCCCATTGAAATAATTGTATACAGGGGAACAGACTTACGCATTACGATTGCTATCTTCTGTTACCCCAGCCATGGATCAGTTGCTCATTTTATTTTATTTTATTTTTTAATATTTATTATTTCGCAATGTACTCTCTTGTCGTATGTTTTTAGTTCTTTGTACTACCTGTAATCTATGGCAAATAAATAAATACTAAATACATGGTATCATGACCCTGAGTGGAGTCCTCTTTTCTGAAACCGGCAAGTCCTCAACTGGATTGTCATATTTCAAACTCAAGTTCCAATCGGCTTACAAGTACGTTATTATATTCAGAATATATGTGTGAATATATGTGACCTGGAATATACAAGGTGTATAGAAAGTTAATAATCACGTAGATATATAGAACGGCCCTGTCTATACTTGTCCAAATGGTTTATTATAGTCACGGTCACATTTTCTCATCTCTCATCTCCTATGACGTTATTTATATTTAATATTTATTTTTCTATCAGGCGACAGTATTGGACATTGAACGCCACTATTGTCACTACCGATTTATTTCATGTGCGAATTGCAAGTGACAGTACTGGTGTTGACACAGTGCATTTTTACTACAGAAGCCGTATCATGGGACTACACGAGGGCTGTGCGACCATCTATCCCTAGCAAATGGCAATTTAATGCGCTATCTTGGCGTCAACCAGGCCCTGTTGAACACAAGTACTTATCGATCGCATTCGTTAGTGAATGAATCTCGGCCAGTAGAATTAGCCACGATGCTACAAGTAACCGGTCCTATGACGTTATGTTATTTACTGATAAATACTGTAAAATACTTTATTTTAGCTGGAATTAGTTTTCGCCGCTTGAAAGACATTTTTAGTGATTTACTATTTTTAGTGATTTTTTTACAAGTTGAATTTTAAATATAGGAGAAAAAAAGGTATGTTCGCTGGATTTATTTTCACTGATTCATTCCTTCAGCGAAAATAGCGAAAATTAATTCCAAGCGAAAATAAAGTAGCTTGATCATCACGCGTATTAAATACGTCTTTTAATACGCGTGATGAGAGTCAACTATGCAGTTCATGCCGTTAGATCCAAAGTGGTTAAATTAGGAAATATGTAAAACAGCTATAATGTTGATTGTTATACTGGTGCGACAAAATAGGGTGCGCGTCAACATCATACACGTATGTCGATGTTGTATTATTGTGAGTTCCAGTAACAGCCCAAATATCCCGCTGGTAAAATCAACGGATGATGAGATTTGTTCAGATAACTAATGAGTAATATGAGATTCAAAAGTTTAGTTTGAAATAAACTGCTATTTTACAATATGAATCATATCCTGTTATTTAGCATATAGAATATTACATTTCTTTTTTTTCCTACTTTCTATCATCGGCAATGCATGCGCAGGTTGAGATATATGTATTGGCCGTTGATGGCGCCATACATGTACGCGTAAGTATTGAATCGTGGCAAATGAGCTAGGTGCATGGACAGTGTAAGATAAATTACATTTGTATAAAGACAACAACACTCATGTTGGGGTAATTGGTCCACATTTATTTAATTTAATGTGGCATATTAAGTTTATCATCGTTATTTCTATGTTACCTTTGTAGCTATAATTTCGAATTCATCATTAACATAATATCATACTAGCCTGAGGCTGGAAGGTCTTTTTTGTCTATGTGTAAACTATTCTGTATAACAGTATATTATTATCTAATAACAACAATATACTCGTTTCAGATTACTCACGGATGTTGTTTGCAGTTAATATATATTGAAAAGCACATTTATAAACTCAGAATGACAGTTCAGGCCCGTATAATCATTCATTAAGACTGAGCCACAAGATGGCTATGTCAATCGTAATTCCAAACAAATTATTCCCATACAAAGTCTTAGAAGTATTGGGGCAGTAAGTAAGCAAACTTGCTCACTAATTCGCTGACTACTTGGGTTTTCACTGAATTAAAAGCAGATGACCTGCAATTTGAATATTACTTTTCATTCTGTCACCATAAAATGCTAGTATTCTCTAAAAAAAAAAAAAAATTTTGCAGAACATAAGAGTAAGCAAAATTGTTTGCGTTGTCAAACCTGCTTAATCAAAACCAAAAAGTTGTCAGTTAGCGAATAAGTGAGTACTTGCCGCAAAATACTTGCCGTAACATTGAGATTTATTACCTCCACCGGAGTCGGTGACCTCTCGTATATGGTAACCACTGGACACGTCTCATTCATTCATTAGTTGGAATTTGTGTTCAACAATGAAAACACACAATAAAGAAGGCCGGAACGTATTGTAATGATAGAGAGTAGTTTGTTTGTTTGCGACAAAGCCCCCACTATAATTGGAGAATGCACATAGAGGGAAATCGAATTCATTTTGTGTACCTTAATTCTATTGTAAATATGCATCAGTGGAGCGTACTGACAAACAAGATGAACAATGAATTGAAATGAACAAAGACGTTTGTAACTACAGTTGAAAATATCCAGACACTGTGACTGGCAGTATGCAGGACACTACACCAAGAGAACGTGTTATCCACGCATCCGGGGCCAGAGCGTGCAACCAAATGCGGTAGGTCGCTGTTTATTCGGCGTACGGTCATAATTGAGGCGAGTCATTTAGAAAACTTCCAGGTAAACATGTTCGTATATATGTCGTTAACAATGATGATCCTGGACAGTCGTAAATGCTACATGTCGATTGTACATGATTACAGGCGGGGAAGGTTGTCGAATGATTGTGTCTCTGTCGATATTTGTCGTACACACTGAATTCGATTAGAAACATCATTATAAAGAGATAGAATACTAATAAAGATAGCATGAAATGCCGGGCTGTTACTTATATGTTGGTGCCACGTGTGTAAAATGTGTCTTTTACAACAATTAGTAAAGTCATAAATGTTTTTTAATATCACATTGTAGGCTCAAAAACCGTATCGTGCTTGGCAAACAATAAAAAAAACAGTTCATAAAGTTCGAGTTCCGCGAGTAAGCTATCTAAACGTATTCTTTATTTAGGAAAAGATCGACGAACACTGAACAATAGTTTTATTGGTGACAACTTGGACCTCGTGATGTAATGGAGTGGTATCATCGCATGACACACAGACATTAAGCAAAGACAAACAGACATAACTTGGAGATACACAGACAATGGTATTGAGTTCAGACAAATCAAAGGGTAGGTTTCTCTTCGGTCTCGGTTCAGTGACCATTGCGATCGGTGTCTTAATTTACAAATCGTTCGACCCGTCCGTTGGCAACGTTCTCAGCTTACCCGTGTTTGTCATTGGAGGATTATTCGCAATAAGCGGACTTGTCAAATCCGGGCGATCCTTCATCCACTACACCTGGGGGGAGCGCAAACAAGAAAAAAAGGAATCACACAAGTATATGCTGGAATATTTTGCTGATTATAAACAATGTGAAGAGAAGACAGCAAATCTAAAGAATCCAAATAAGTTGCAGGTAACCGAAGTGTAAATAGAATTTTCAGTGATGCTCGCAGCGTCTGTCGTCGTACTAGGAAGTGACGTCATAAATCCGGGACAGACTGGATAATAACGCACCTCGGAAATGGTAGTGCAAATCTGAAAATTATGTTACTATTATCATTGAAGAGGCAACACCGATTTGATCTTGGGTATTTTCAAAATAATTGTTTGTATTTGATATTGCATCTTGATAGCAATAATATAATATTATTTACCGAAAAATAAATTTAAAAAATGGCATAAAATATAGGAGTTAAGGTAGAAGCCTACTCATAAATTTAAAAACCCAGAATTTATTCATTTTGTAATAAAATGTAATCCAAGGTAATATAAGGATATTGACCTAAAAAAGTTGGGGTCCCCAGCCTTTTTTTCGAGAAATTGATGGTTGTATTTTAGTGGAAAGTCGCCATTTTGACACTATTATAACACTTTTACCACATGTTCCTATGGCAGAGATATTCTGCAATATCTCAAAATCTAGCCTGGTGACATAGGCTGAAAAAAATCATATATTGTTAATGATGGAGTACTTTTTGTTGTTCTTAATTATTTAACAAATCTGGGTTTTTAAAAGTGTAAAAAATGCAATTTTTCTTTAACATTGTGTTCTATGGAATTGTTCTAAAAATAGCATTTTTCAAAAAATATTAGAACACGTTTCTCAATAAGCTTAACTGTAACACACAAAATAATGCTATTTTATTGTACCATAGGACATTAGCTTCATGATTGTACATTATAAACTAATGAACATTGTCATGCGATTTATGGCCAATTTTGTCAAAAATTATGACTAGTTTTCTACCTTAATGTATTCATTTGATGCAATTTTGATAAAAACAAAACAAACGTAATACGCTTGCGCCAGGATTTACTATTATATACTTAGAAGCACACGCGCAAAAGCGTTTCGAATACTGCTATACTTGCTTAATACATAACGATTTCATTTCACAACAAATGATTCTCTATAGCTTTTATCAAGATGCAATATCACCATATTTATTTAAACATGAACATACTAGTCCATATTATTACCTTTTCTGAGTGTTTTCATTAAACTTTAAACTCTTCAAATCAAAAATATATGTTATCCAGTTCTCTGAGAAATCCGTCACCTGTATTTTTACTTTTTATTTGACCGACTTCTAATGCGTTTATGACGAATGTAACACTGTCCTGACCAGACGTGATCTTAGTGTTATTGTTAACGCCAGATTCAGTTTCTTGTATTTTAATTTGAATATCACTTCCGGAAGAAACATTCTCTTTAGTTCTGGTTTCACGAACCTCGGCTGAGTCTATAGGAACCATTTGCACATCTTCGGCTCGGTTTTGACTTTCCGCTCTACTTCTACGACTACTTCGTATAGACGTAGAAAAAGTATCCCGTCGATTTTCACTGAAAAACCGGGTTCTTCGGTCTTGTCCGCAGAAACATAGCGCCCTCTTGAAGGCTTGGCGGTACTGTTTCCCGATTAGACCGTACACTATGGGATTAATCGTGGAATTCACCATGGGCAACCATCTCACAAATTCCCCCCACACATCGCCGGTAATAATCCACTTATCATAATCCTCTTGCAAATAGTTGTAAAACGTGAATATTAGTTCCAAATGATAGGGAAATAGACATAAAAAATATACGGTAGCTGTCACTACTAACATTACGACGACGCTTCGCTCTCGTTTGTGTCGTAACTTCAACACAGCAGGCGCGAAGTTGGCGGTGCACATTTTTGCACTTTTCCGAAGTCCGACCGCAGTTAGAATATCTAAAACTGTTATTGTTATGAAAACTGTTATAAATATCACTACTGGTGTCATGGTGTACACGGCTGCCTGAGCGGTATTCTCGTAACCTCTCCAGCAGTTCGAAGTGCTCGGTGGAAGTGATTCCGTTTCGTTCATCCCGGTCCACACGATGCAAATAGTTCGCCATTCCACGTAAAAATAGAGCAGAGGAGCACAAAATGCGGCCCCTAACACCCATATAAATGCGATTAGCTTAAATGTTCGGGACTTTGAACTCAGACGTTGTGCCTTTAAAGGGTGGCAAATTGCGATAAACCTCTCAATTGTAAATAAAGTGATGTTGAACTCAGACACAATCAGACAGAGATCGAGTAAAATATTGACAATCGGGCAGCCAACTGGTCCCAGGTAACTCATATCACCAATTGACATCTTCGGCGATGGGTTCTACAACTTGTATCAAAAAATACAATGTTAGAAACATAATGTCCACAACGGCCAAGTTGCACAGGTAGAAATTCGTCAATGTTCGCATATAATGAATCCGTTGTATTACAAACAGAAACAGACAGTTTAGAATAATGCCCAGTGGGCATATTATAGTAGCGGGTAATATCCTCGTTAGAAGATGTTGTAATAGTCATACAAGTATGTCTCGTCGTATATATAAAAGATCAGACTGCCGGTCTCATTGAACACGTCCGCTATACATTCGTATTCCAAAAGCTTGGCGATGATAGCATCTTTCAGGTCATCTGTTTCGTTGGTCGAAGAAGAAAGCGCTGATGGAAACCAATCCGATATTAGGGCATCCATCGCAGCTTCGCATCTGGAATGAAACAGTTTATCAACAGTTTAGGTACGTTTAACAGTTAAAGCGCGGTGGTCGTCGCGCAGCGCGTGTTCGAATTTCATGTAAACACGCGTTGTATACGTCGCTATGAGTCCCATATCGAACAGGACGCGGCACGACGAGCACCGCCCTTTAAGTGATAGTCTGTCAGTGTTATTTACGTACTTTTAATAGGTGGAAGTGCGTAACGCCAACTTGTAACTACCTTGAATATTTATTTGGAATTTTTTTCACTATGGCAACGAAGAAAATTGTAATTTAACAGCTCAA